CCGCCGTAAAATTATTTCCGGCGGGCGGCGGCTAGGGTTTGGGCCATGGAAGTTGGACAAAAAAAATAGGGCGCTAGGGTTTACAGGTTAAAGATGGGGAAAGTGAAGTGAATGGGCCTCTAAGGTATGGGTGGGAGGTGTTAGGATAGTTATATAGTGGACGGGTGGTGTGTTCCCAGCCGTTTGATCAAGGGAGATCAATGACCGAGATGGCCGTTACTCAAACGGCGTCATTTTAGGTTTGGAGGCGAGCTGGACATGGTAAGAGATTGGGCTAGGTTAATTTGGGAAGGAAAAACGGTTTGGGCCACTGATTTTTGGTCTTTTGAGTGGCCCAAATCAAAACCAGCCTATTTCTCTCTTTTTTTGTTTCCTTTCTTTTTCTCTCTTTTCTTTAATTTTAAACAAAAAATCCTAACTAAATTAATTAAATCCTAAATTTAATCTTAAATTAGTCTAAATTATAAAATCAAGCTAATTATCTATTTGGCATTTTTAAAAATTAATTAATCCTAAATTACTGAAGAGAAAAATTACTCATCTAATATTAAAAGCTAAAGATGAACAATATTTGTGATTTTTATTTTAATAAATAATTAATTAACCAATTAATGCTAAAATATGAACACAAAATCTAATATGTAATGCATAAAATTTTGATATTTTTGGGGGTATTTTCTATGCTTTTAATATATGTAAAATGCAACTAAAAATGCAAATAATTAAGCAAATATTCCTAGAAATTCTATAAATTTAAAATAAACTACAAAAATCTATTTCGTGATTTTGTAGGAGTATTTTGGGTTGGGCAAAAATCACGTGCTTACAACTACCCCTCTTTGCTCGAAAACACAAAGAGTTTTTTGGCAAATATAAAGTGAGCGAATACGAGCGATTTTTGCTCGTTTGGATACTCCGTGGGAAGCATTTTTGAAAAGTCTAACCGAACCTTTCTTTTGAAGTTGCCTACATATCCTTGGCGATAAAGGAATCAGGTCAGTGTAGTTCTGGAAGTTTTTGATAGCTGAGACTACCGTGAAGCTGTGATTTCACCGCTGCTGCTATTGTTACTGCTTGCTGAACTCCTGATTACACCGAAACCAAAATAAAAAGAAGCTAGGCAAATATATGATCTATGAGTTACAAGATTTCTATCTACATGTCTCCAATCTTGATCTTGAAACTTTTGTAGTTCTGTCGCATATCCTGAACTGTTGACTCGCATTCTCGAGGCGAGTTTCTGTTATCTCTAACTTGAATTGACCCCATTCTCCAGGCGGGTTGCTGTTGTTGTCTTGGACTTAACTCTAAAATGTGTTCCCTCATTTCCTAGGTGGTGCGTGCTATTTGACCTAATATTTGAATGGATTCCATTGTTCTCCAGGTGGGCGCCTGATGTTGAAACTAAAATGAATTCCTTTGTTCTCCAGGTGGGCGCCTGATGCTACAACTAAAAATAAATTCCCTTGTTGTCCAGGTGGGCGCCTGATGCTGAAACTGAAATGAATTCCCTTGTTCTCCTAGTGGGCGCCTCATGCTAAAACTAAAAATGAATTCCCTTGTTCTCCTAGTGGGCGCCTCATGCTAAAACTAAAAATGAATTCCCTTGTTATCCAGGTGGACGCCTGATGCTGAGACTAAAAATGAATTCCCTTGTTATCCAAGTTGGCGTATGATGCAGAAACTAAAATGATTTTCCTTGTTATCCAGGTGGGTGTCTGATGCTTAAACTAAAAATGAATTCCCTTGTTATCCAGGTGGGCGCCTGATACGGAAACTAAAATGAATTCCCTTGTTATCTAGGTGGGTGCCTGCTGCTAATACTGAAATGAATTCCCTTGTTCTCCAGGTGGGCGCCTGATGCTGAAACTAAAAATGAATTCCCTTGTTCTCCAGATGGGCGCCTGATGCTGAAACTAAAAATGAATTCCCTTGTTCTCCAAGTGGGCGACTGCTATTGTGACAAAACCAACAAACAAAAGAACTTTTCTGCCACAGTTTGGTACCGGGAACATCTATGAGTGTTAATCAAATCATGTTATCCAAAAAAACTCTAATAATTTAAAAGCTAAATCCCATTATCCAGGAGGGCCCTGACCACTTAAACAATATCCCATTATCCAGAAGGGTCCTGAAAACTCTAAAACTAAATCGCATTATCCAGGAGGGTCCTGACAGCTTGGAACTAAATCCCATTATCTAGGGGGGTCCTGAAAACTCTAAAATTAAATTCCATTTTCCAGGAGGGTCCTAACAGCTTGGAACTAAATCCCATTATCCAGGAGGGTCCTGAAAACTTACAACTAAATCCCATTATGCAGGAGGGTCCTGAAAACTCAAAACTAAATCCCATTATCTAGGAGGGTCCTGAAAATTTTAAATTAAATCCCATTATCCAAGAGGGTCCTGAGAACTTACAGTTGAACCTATCTGGCGCTCTCCTCTCGGAGGGTTCCTCCAGAACATGAAATTTCCTGTATCTGTTTCAATCAAAGAAAATCTTATCAATTTGAAAATGTGGTGGTTAGTTTGTGGCATTCTTGCTGAAAGTGGCCTTTCTACCGCCATGATTTGTTCCGATTAGCTGCTTTGGGCTAGCAAAGAATTGTTTGACCTTTTGACCGAACCTCAACCACAGAACCCTGAATGACCCGAGTGCCCCACACTTATCCTGCTGTTTTACATTTCTGTCCTTCCAATTTGAACCTCTATATTTCCTCAAAATTCACCAAACAACTTGAGCACTTGAACTCCCACTAACGCTTTATTTCTCATCTTGAATTATGTTATTTCTGGTATGCTTTGGCCACACTTTGCTTTACGCAATTGAAAGTTGGTAATAAGCTTTGAAATCCTTTCTTGCTTGCTTAACAAAGCTAATATTGAAAAAGACTTAGAGAGGTAGACCCAAAAGAAAACGAAGCAAAATGACTACGAGAAACAAAGACAAAGAGGGAACTTTAGACAG